AGGAACTGCGTTGACTCCTCCACTGCAATTGCCGGAACTCTGCTTGGCTCGACTCCTCGGTCTCGAAGTGGGCAGGAAAATTATTTTGAATTTCAAAAATTCAAAATTGTGATTCGATGGATGCGGCAATCCCACCGCTGTCACCAATTGTTATGTCCTACCGAAGTAACTAGGAGGACAGTAGCGCCAATGAAATTTAGAGCGCCAATTTTTGACTGTAGATTCGTTTGCCGCCAAAGCTCTGATGAGCACTCCATCGAAGTCCAATTGTTTAATCCCAGAATATTTGGTTGGAAGGGTTGAATTGTGAAATAAATTCAACACAAGTGCTTAAGAGAGCACACAAACACTTTTATTCAAAATACTTCAACTTCAGACTTTAAACTTTGCACTACAAAAAAAAAAAATTTAATAAACTCTAGAAAAACTCTACTGAAAAACTATTTGAAGAGAGAAGCTGGAAGCTGAAGGCTTCACCACCAATTTCCACGATGGAACTGACTTAAACTTAAATTTAACTCCAAGGGTTGGGTCCGCAACCCCACCGGACCAAAAGTTGCGCGCGCAATCCTGGCCCAGGGGAGAGGGAAAAGTGAAACTCAAGGAAAAGCGGGGAAATGAAAAAAAAGGGGAAGAAGGGGAGCGTGTGACGTCGTGAAACTTCGTCGCGAAGGGTCTCAGGCCCTCAGCCTAGCGAAACAATGAACAATGGAGAGCCCACACGTGTTAGTCACGTGAAACAGAGAACCTTTCGAAATAACCAGAACTGAGATTTTACGACATGGGACCGTAACCGTTAAATTTATTTTCTTCTCTAAATTTGGATTTTCGAGGAAAGTGTTTACTCAACGAGAATTTGGAGGGTTGTAAATTATAAGAGCAAAACTCAAGTATTTGACATTTACTATTTCCGTAACGGTTTTTCTCACGCTTGCGATGCTGTTTTTCGTTCTCTTTGTCCATTGTATTCCAGACTTTCTTTATTCTTCTATTTCTGGTATATTTTTAATTTCCTGAACTATTTAAATTATTTTCCAACAATAATTTGAATCTCGCGGACTATTATGGCCGATTAATAGCGCCATCTATAAATTTCAACGTCAAGACATCACACCACACTCGCGTGACACCCTGTGAATATGGCGACGGTAAATATCCAAAGTTATAAACACTTATTCCAATTTTCACACACACTAGACACTCTCGCGAACTAATTCTCGTTAAAAGAACTACTTTTGACTATTTTTCGGGAGTTGTCCCGAAGGGATTAGACGCCGCTAACTCCCACAATCAGTGGAATCGGAATTGAGGCGATCAGCCGTCGCCATACTGTCTCGCTCAGTTATAGGAAAATGTGCCAGATGGCGCCACTGAAAACCCCCGAAACTCGGCGTATGGAAATGAGAATTGTCGAGCGGACAGCTCAGGGGTGTAACCCAATGAGAGCCCACGGGTACCAAGCATTCCTGCATCTCACTCCCACTCGTGGAAATGGAGCAACACACTATTGCATTTTCCTACAGCCATAACAATAATAATAACACTAATAATAATAATAATAATAATAATAGTAATAATGATAATTGACAAAAACAATAAAACAAGTGAAACTCACCGTGTTTGCGCTAAATTTCGGGAAAAGCTCCAATATAGAAATTTTTTGAGAAAATTCGCCGATTCTCTAAACAAAAATCCGATTTTCAAAAACAAAAAATCTAACTCTCAATTCACAAAACTCTCAATTCGCAAGTTGAGAGTTGAATTTTTGATTCTCAATAATCTCTCAATCTACTCTCAACTTTTTTTTAGAGTTGAAAATTGGATTATTGATTCTGAATAATCTCGCAATCTAATCTTCAATTTTTCTGAGAGTGGAGAACTGGATTTTTTTTTTTTGACAATGGGATTTTTGATTCTCAATTATCTCTCAATTTATGTTCAGATTTGCATTTTGGAAATTGAATTTTTGATCATCAATTGCCTTTCAATATACACTCAACTTTTCCACAGAGTTGAGAATTCTTTTTTTTTTAAATAAGATGCAGATCTGCTTATTTAAAGTACCTCGTTCTTTCCCTACCATTGTATCTAATTACATTTTTTTAGGTTCTATTTCTTACATTTTTCTTTCGTCTATTTTTATCTTCTTTTCTTTCCGCTTTCTTCTTCTTTCCCCTCCGGCTGTTGGTCTCGCCCTCCTCCTTCCCTGCTCTCATTGCAGGCTCCCACCTCTCAACTTGTCCTTCTCTCTTTCCGCTTTCTTTAACACTGTCTCCAGGCTACCCAGCCTGCCGCACATCTTCTTCGAGGAAGTTTTTCCCATCTCCTCTAGCCTCTCCTCCCAGTGCCTCCAATTGCTTTTCCTTCTCCACTTCTCTCACCATTTGCTCTCATCTGTTCCGATTCTCCTCATTATCTCCTTACAGGAAATTACGTGTCCTGCTGTTTCCATCTCTTTTCCACATACTCTGCATGCGTCGTTCTCTTATTCCTTCTTGCCTCCTATCATCACGTTTCCGCATCTCCACCTCGCCCAGATCATCTTCCGCTCCAGCCTCAACCTCCTATTCATCCAGTAACCGCTCATCTCTGTGCCCTTCTTTATCCTATTGTAATAATCCCAGTATTTCGATTTGTCAATCCTCTCCCAATCCTTCTGCTTCTCCCTGGTCCTCCGCTGTCGTTACTATTTCCCCTATTCGCTTCTCCGCCTTCTCCATCTCCTCTGCCCAAAGCAGCTCCAGCAACTCGCCATCTCCCAACTCCCTCAGTTTCTCCATTAGATTCTCATCTTTCAGAAGCTCCAAAAGTTATGTAATTAAGAGTCTATCGAGCAACTAACAGTTCATTCTGTAGATAAATTCATCATGTAAATAGTAGATTGTTATTAATCAATTGAGAACTTATAATGAAAAATTGTATATATGAGCGTAAGTAGGTAAATAAGAATTTATTATTCTATTCAAATGGTTCTCTCGTTCTATCCGTTGAAGAAAGAAGCCTCACGTGGAGACTAGATTAAGTGATAGGTTTTATTTCAATTCATATTTTTCATTAGATTTTCATTAGCTCTAGATCACAATCTGACAAGATTCCTCTGAATCATGGATAAATGGGAGTACATTTCTCGCAGAAGAATTGTACAGATTGTCAACAGGGGAAAACATTAACGGGGCTTTTCATCATTATTTCTTTGCTAAAAAGCTTTTACATTGGCTTTTACATTCAGGAGTTGTCGTGTAAATAAGAATCTATCGAGCAAATAATAATTCTTCTTGTTAATCAATTTATTTTGTCAATTATAGTTTGTTTTGACAAAATTGGGAAATTATCATGACAGATTTAGTAGGGGTGTAAATAGATGATTGAGAAATTATTTTTCTAAATAAGCAAGTCTCACGTGGGAATTAGATCAAATATAAGACATAAGATTTTTATTTCACCGCACTTTTAATTCCATAGACAATATTCCCTGTTAAAGGTAGTTGATCTCATAATTCTAATGGTTTCTAGAGTTTAAAAAAAGGATAACTGTAAAAAAAATTGTCACATTGAGATTTCAATTCAACTGAAACTGTGTCCTTTTTTTTCAATATCTGCCAAGAACTCAAGAAGATATCCGCCGTTAAAAATTTTTCTCAAGTTTAGCATTGAATATTTCATGTATCGAACGCCAAAGACGGAAGAAGAGGAAAATCACGACGAAATATTTTGGTGATATATATATATAACTAACTGGTAACTGTGATATATATTTTTTTTAATTAAATAATTTACGAGTAAGCTACAGCTTGACAAAGTTTGAGTGTATAACAGCGGATAAGCTGCTGGATGACGAAAAAAAAACTAAAAAATATCACGATGAGAATTTGTGAAATTTAAACTGTGACCATTTGTTTTCTTTTTCAATAGAATCATCCTAGGAGGAAATATCCGCTGTTAATATTTTTCTCACTTTTGTACTATGAATACTGACTATGTAAATTAGTTAAAGACATATTCAGCGATCATCACGATTAAGTAAATTCATACAGAATTTATTGAATTTGAATTTTTTCAAATCCCATCATTCTCCCGTGAGAGATACCGTGTCAAAAAATTTTTCCTTCGGAAATTGGCAAACTTCAGGGTTATACGTTGAGGGGTGATTACGAGAGGTAAAAATAGAGGAGGGAGAGGCAGGCAGGGTGTGGGTGTCAAATCGAGAATTGTACTTCAATAAAACCAAAGTAACAAAAAAAAAAAAATAAAGATTATGTGATCGTTTTGAAAAAATAACAGAAATTCTCTAAAAAGACGGAAACAAATTTTTTTGTAGGAAAACTGCCACGAAAAAGTTTTGGGTGATTGTTTCTGGAAAGAAGAAACGCAATTTTTTTAACCCGTCGTTAGGCGCACATGAGATGTTCTCCCACACAATAGTAGTTGACCTGTAGGACGTCTCTGCAGTGCGAGTAAGATACTAAGAAGAGCCCGCCTACTGACGGGTTTAGAAATCCGATTCTTACAGAAATTTGGTTGAAAAATGAAGAAACAAAAATCAAAGCCAAGTCAAGAAACTTCCAATGATGGCTCTGAATCAAAGGATTCAAAAAAATCCTTCATGAAATAAAAAAATCAGTAGGGACAGGATCGACATTCTTGGCGCGGAGTATTCGCACAGATTGTCTCATATCAATTGTCGATTCTGTTTCTACTGATTTTTTAATTTCATGCAGGATTTTTTGAATTCTTTGATTCAGAGTTATCATTGGACATTTCTTGGCTTGGGTTTGATTGGGTTTCTATTTTTTCATTTCTTTCAAAATTTCAATGGGAATCGAATTAAAAAAAAAATTTCTTCGTTGCAGAAAAAATCACACAAAACTTTTTCTTATTACAGTTTTTCTACAAAAACAATTGTTTTTTTTTGGGAGATCTTTTTTTCTACTCATAAATAGGGGTACGGAACAAAATTGTTGAAAATTTTGAGGCCGTATTTGCGTACGATATTTGGTGGAATGGTCCATATTGGTTATTCTGAAGAGAATAATGTGATCAAGAGCTTCAAAATTCAATGTAATCCCCTCAAATAAAAACAAAGAATCACTTTTCCGTAAATGATTAATTGCAGGATAAATTATTTGATTGAAATTTTGCAGTAATGCTGGATTATCTACGAGAAGAAACGAATACGTTACCTCGAGTCGGTGCTGTTGCAATTGGTGGTCTTGCTGGATTAATATTCAGTCTTCGCGGCAGTAAATTCAAACGATCCGTATATACAACAACCGGTGCCCTGGGAATTGCTGCTGTGTGTTATCCAAGACAAGCAGAAGAGAGTATTGTCGCTGCGAGGCATTATGCGAATATCATAATGAATTTTGCTTATGGGGGTAAGTTGTAATTTCATTATATTTATGCATCTGATAAAAATATTTTATTTATTGACGGCTTGATTCAAGTGTACAGTACAAAAATGTGATTTATTCTACATGGAATTCTATATGATGTCCTAATAATTGATTTTAACTTAATTCCAGTTAAGCCTGGAGAAAAACAAATGGAGATATCATGGCCTAAATTACCATTATTCAAAATGCCATCGTCATTTTCAGATATCATTAATATAATTTCTGAGACAGGTTCCAGTGTAGTATCTAGTATTGGTTCGTTGGCTGGTAAAGTAACTGAAGCCGCTCAGGAACAGGTACATGTGAGATCTAAGAGTTTCCTATACTTCTGATCTCCTAATTGATCCAATCCTCTTTCCGTATTCTTGGTTAGCGGAATTCTCTTGAGTGCAGACGCTGAAACATATTAAAATTGTCTTACCGTGACTGAAATTTTATTCCTCGTTTATTCATATACTGTAATAAATATTCTTCCTCATTCTATGAAAATAGGATTGTGCCTATCGAAATTTTTGTCCAGATAGCAACTGCGAATGTGAAAAAGAGGAAGATGATTGTAATCCTAAATCGAACAATTTGAGTTGTAGCAAGATTTCAAAAGAGATAGTCGAAGTTTCAAATCCTAAGAAATTACAGTCAGATCAAACAACTAGGCGATGGTGGTGGAAATTCGTTTGTAATTCCTTATGAAATCCTTCTCCGTATCCATCAACTAAATTTTAGATTCATTTTAAAAATCAAGCTTTTCGTTTTACAGAAGAAATCAGCAGAGGCAGTTCCACCCCAGCTACAAAGGAAACAGGAATAGTATAAAACATGAAGAAATCAGCTCATTGGTAGCTAACGGATAAAAAGCAATTTGTAATCATGAAGATAATTTGTGACGAAGTATACAGATCATTGGAATTAATAAAATCTTATATATAATTTAGACCAGAATTATGAAAATGTCTCCACTACTCTTCTGTTAAATATATATCTAACGGTCAGGGTGAGGAGAGTGTGTCTTTGGTTTTCAGAGGTGGGCGACAAGAATGTGAGTGGAGATTGGGTAAAGTAGGGGTCTATGCTCTGAGGAGCACAATCTCCCAAGTTCTACTGTGTATTGAACCTACAAACTGCGTCAGCAGACACTGACGAAGTTGCCTCAAACAGATGGCCTGACATGAATGAAGCCCTGAGAAACAGATACCGCACTTATCATAAGTACAACTTATCCCCTTCACTCCTCCGCTGCCACGAGAATAAGTACAGCTTGATCATTTAGTAATTTGACGTCATTTGTTTCCAAACTCAAGTGATAGTTTAGTCGTGTCAAATAAATATCTTGGTATGACTGAATGGAATTTCATTCGAAAATGCTTAGCCAATGTGTGATCTTTACATGAATTTTATGACAAATCCTTTCAAATGACTGACTATTCATGTTTTAGTTATGTTTAGTGCCTCATCTGTTTCTCAGGACTGCAGTCCTGTTAAGAGGAACATGGGAAATGCCTTCATCAGCGTGTGGAGCCGGTTTGTATATTGCTATTTGCTCAATTTTCACAAGATTTTTAAAACAAATTCATATGACCGGTTATAATGGTTCTTATATTAGAAATGGAGTAGAATCCATTCGGAGGGATATTGCTAATTTATTTCCAACACTTTTCTTCCTACTGGACATTAAAGACGTTTGATTGTTTAATTCAAAAATATAACGAAGAATGGACCGCGAGAATCATCAGAAATCGATGATTAATTCGTTAATTAAGAATTGATCATCTCGGGAGAATTCAAACTGGAGATGCGTTGGTCACAATGCTACAAACCTTCTCTGCCCTGGGAATCCAGGAGCCACGCTACAGCCACGGTATTTGCGTGGCTGTTGCGTGGCTATTAGGATTGTCATTTTCTGGGGCTAAAAAGGGGGAAATGATATCTGAAAACACAATAAAAGTGGATAGACGAATTATTAGTTTATATTTGCACTGTTTATAACATTGTTTTCTATCAATTGATTGAAATTAATGGGAGTGTATATAATGATAATACAAGACCCGTAGGGGGAATGCCGGGAGATGGCGGCAGTGTCGATATCCCAACGGGGTCGGTCAAGTCGACAGGAGTCGCAGCCAGAATAAGTGAGACCCCAATAGAGGTGGGGCGCCACGGTCGATTCTAACGGCTGGGCGAGCTGCCTTTGCCGGTAACTCGGCAGTAGGGCCAGAAGAAGAATATCCATGGATTCTTGGAGTGGGGGTCAAGCATATGAGTGGGAATTACGTAGAGTGGGAGTATCCTGGGCAGGGAAAACATCTGCTAGAAGCCCTATAGCAGTCCCGCTGTCACAGGGGTAGGTTCGAAGGGGGATTTATGTCCTCCTTGTCCTCAATGTTTACTTTATGTTTTTCCGTTGATTCATTCGCCCGCTAATTAATATTAAGGGATGAGACGAGGACTTTTCTATGGAGAATTAGATTCCCCATCTATCAACCCCCGTTTCATCCCTTAATCTTTGTTATAAAAAAATTAAAACTGCGACGAAAGTCACGGTACTATGAGAAACCCAATGGTTTTTCGGCGCAGAGTGCCACCCCAATAATTCGCCCACCAATTAAAAAATCGTCTCTCCCCTCCTAATTAACATTAAGGAATGAAGCCAACGCTGTTCGATGGAGAATTAAAGTCCCCATCCAGCAACCCCCGTTTTATCCCTTAATAATCTCTGTAATCAAAAAATAAAAACTGCGACGCAATTTACGGCACTATGAAAAACTTAATGGATAACTCGCACGTCAATTAAAAAATCGTCTCTCCCCTCATAATTAACATTAAGGAATGAAACCAATGCTGTTCGATG